CGTATCGCGTTACTCTGGCGGCCGTCGACCGAGTATGTCACCTGTAGACGTTTGATAGTACGGCTCGCGTGAACTTCGCTGTGCTCGTGTAATATCTTGCGCGATAATTATAATAACGATTCCGAACGACACGTAATGTTTGATTGATTCCCGACTCTGACTATTCCGTCTTGTATAATCGGTTATATAGTCTGATCGATGCCCGGTCAGCATTCTAATCGATTGCGTCGATCGGTTGCGTGATATTGATTAATCAATATTACGCTCGATTTGATCATTAAATTTAGGAATTGCTGATAGGCTTTTTCGCAATGTTCTCGCGATGCATTTCTGTGGTCTTTCGAAAGACTGGTCGCGATTTCGGCGATCACACATTTGTGTAATCTTTCGAAAGACTTTTCGAGGTTCGTGCAACCTAATTTTGTTGCCATGCGGACTACTTTTATTATTGGTTGTAGGCCTGGCTACAACAAAGTGTAATCCTATGCATGTTGGATGTTGGACATCACTTCCTCTGAAGATAAGATATAAGAGAGTCGTGATTAACGTACGTTCAAACGACAACGCGTGCTTCGCGTGGGCGGTGATGGCCTCTCTGTATCCCGTCGATCTACACCCGGACAGATCTTCATCGTATCTTCACTATTCGTTGATGTTCGATGGTATTGACTTTCCTTCCTATGACGCTACGAAACATCGCTAGATTCGAACGTCTTAACAAGTTGTCTATCAATGTATTTGCCATTCGAGAGAAAAGGGAGAGAAACGGTATCATGGTCGTTCCCTTGTCGCTCACGGGGAAAAAGAAGTCTACGCACGTGAATTTGCTCTGTCGAACGAGCGGCGATAATGTCGATCACTTTGTATGGATAAAGCACCTGTCTCGACTGTTAACATCACAAATAAATAGGCATAAGGAGAAAAAGTACATATGCGATCGGTAAGCGTAAGAGAGAAACTATGCTCGTCGCGAAGTAAATTTGTATTAATCATAAATCGTTAAATGTATAAATGTATTTTCAGATGTCTGTATTACTTTTACTCGAACGAGAAACTGGTCACGCATAGCGTCGAATGCAGAAGAGCGAACGACTGCGCCGTTATTCTTCTGAGCGGGGAAGAGCGACAAGTGGCTCTCCTTCCGCAATCACAATGAAAAGAAGAGACTACGATTTGTCGTGTACGCCGATTTGGAGTGCGTTTTAGAAAAGAGAGATCGATGGTTCACGGGGAATCTCGATAGATTCGCCTATCAACATCACAAGGCAGCGTGATATTATTTGCGTAGCGCGGAATCGTATTCGCGTATAGATCTCGTCGAAGCGACGATTGCGTCTCGTGGTACGTCGAGGAGCTGCGCGTTCTCGTGTGTGAGGAAGATTCTCTGCGCGAGCGTACCGATATCGGAGCTCACGCCAGACGAGCGGAGTGCTTTTCAAAGGGCGACAAATTGTCACGTGTGCGGAAGGATCTTTGGGTCGTATGACGTTCGCGTGCGCGATCACTGTCATCTTACCAGACGTTACAGAAGACGCGCATGCGAGTTGCAATTTGAACTCAAAATGCATTCGTTGTTCCCGTTTTTTTTCACAATCTATCCGTTACGGCGCACATTTTATTATTAAGGATGTAGCGAACACTTTCGAGGGTAGAGTCGACCTATTACCGCTGACTAAGGAGAATTACATCGCGTTTTCGAAAACTGTCAACGATTCGGCATATGGAAAATGGAAAAATTGCGTTTCGTAGATTCGTTTAAGTTTCTCAATACCAGTTTAGAAAAATTAGCTTCGTATCTAGATCGGGACAAATTGAGGATCGCGAATTCTCCGGTCCGTCGCGAAGAATTTCGAATCGCTCACGCGCAAGGGCGTATTTCCGTACGAGTACGTCGACAGCGTTGATAAACTATTAGAGAATTACCGCCGATCGAAGCCTTTCACAGTTCTTTGACTGACGAAACTGTGAGCGCTAGCGATTATGAGCACGCGCGAAGGATATGAGAGCGTTTTCGCGTGAGGACTCTTGGCGAGTACAGCGATCTATACTTGAAAACGGATGTGTTTCTCTTGGCGGATGTTTTTGTAAATTTTCGGGATTCCTGGAGAGTTATGGTTTGGATCCAGCGCATTATTTCACGTTACCGGTTGAAATACACGAACGTTCAATTTGATCTGCTTACTGATATCGATATAGTGATGTTCGTAGAGCGCGATATACGCGCGGTCTGAGTCAATGCTCGACAGGTACGCGCGAACAGGTACGCGCGAACTAACAACCAATACGAATCATTTTACGACTCGTCTCGACCGTCGTCGTATCTCATGTACTATATGTACGTGAACAACGGCTGAGCCATGTGCGAACCCTTACCGTATGCGGAATTTCGGTGGATCGAGGACGTCGAGAGTCTTCAGACTCCGGTGTCACCTGATATCCACTCCGATATCGGTTATATTCTAGAGGTTGATCTTGAGTATCCGCGATATTTTCACGACGGCCACGCGATCTTCAGTTCTGTCCGACACGCGAAAGACCGCCGGGAAATCGAAAAGCTACTCGCCACGCTCTACGACAAGTCGCGTTATGTGACGCACTATCGCTTCAGCAGTGCGTGCGACACGGTTTACGCGTGACGAAGGTCTACCGCGCGTTGCAGTTCGCGCAGTCTCCTTGGCTGCGCGCGTACATCGAGCTCAATACAGAACGGAGAACTCGCGCGAATTTGAGAGGAATCTGTATAAGCTGATAAACAACGCGGTTTTCAACAAGACAATGGAGAACGTGCGCGATCACGTAGACGTGAGGCTCGTGACGCGTTGGGACGAGAGATACGGCGCGGAGGCGCTGATCGCGAAATCGAACTTCCACAGTAGGAGCGTCTTCGACAAGAATCTCATGGTCGTCGAGTTGCAAACTCGAAGTTAATTTTAACAAACCGATCTACATCGATATGTGCATTCTAGAGATATCCAAGACGCGTTTGTACGATTTTCATTACGATTATATGATGCTGCTTTATCGCTCTAAATGCAAAATCATGTACACGGACACCGATAGCTTGATATATTTTCTGGAATGCCGAAACATTTACGAGAATATGAAGCGGGATATCGCGAGATTCGACACCAGCGATTACCCCAACGACAACGCATACGATATACTGCACTCAAACAAAACGGTTCTCGGTTTGATGAAGGACGAAAACAACGGAGCGATCATGACGGAATTCATAGGACTCAGGGCGAAGATGTATGCTCTGAGAGTTCTGGGAAAGAGCGATACGAAGAGAATAAAGGGCGTCAAGAGGAGTACCGTCGCGAAAACGATAACGTCCAAAGATTTCGCGCTTTGCTTGAACGAATCGTCGCAGCAATCGAGACGTCAGGCGTGCATACGCTTGATGCTGCACGAGGTTTACACCGTATCCGAATTAAAGCTAGCCTTGAGTCCTTATGACGACAAGCGATACGTAACACCTGACTCTACCGATACATTACCGTGGGGTCATTATAAGCTATCCGTATCAGATACTAATGTAGTATAAATACTTTTACCATGCAGAATAAATAATCGTTTCACTTTGTACTCTTTATTCATTATAATACAGCCGTTTTGTGTATCCAAGAGTTGTATGTATTGTCTATTCCTAAATTTGACGAAAATCCTATCGTCCTTTCTACGTAGCACCTTCTCTATGAGATAGATATCGGAAACTCACAGTAACTCGTGTTCATAGAATCCTCCGGCCACATTCTCCGCAATAGTCTTTCAACAGATACGTCACGAGATTCGTGTGTTGCACCTTGGCGATTCGAAAAATCTCGGTCGTCCAGTTAGGTGTATATCTCTTCTCGAAAATAGTTTTGAATTTGCTGACGCATACCGGATCGTTCATCTTGAACCTCGCGGGGGCTGATCTTCAAGTGACTATATACCG